TTAAAGGGGTCATCGGATGCTACATGCACTTCTATAAGTTGTTTGAACTGAAATGTGTGTTGGCAGTGTGTGTACACAACCACCCTATAATGATAAAAATCCACCCAGTTTTTTTTTTTTTATCTGGTTAAATGTTTTCCCCTTTCTCAAATCGAGCCGATCTCAGATGCCGGCCCCTCCCACGATAGTTTGATTGAGAGTAGCGTTTCAGCACAGACTGGACTTGCGTCTTACCTTAGACCCGCCTGAGTGAGCTGTCATCAGTCCGCCATTGTTTCACCGTGGAGCAGATGTAGACCAGAATGACTCCTAGTCCTAAGCGATTGAGGTGTTCTGTTGTTGGATGTGGAATGAACATAGCAGTCATTTACTCCTGACATCTGAGCCGCTGAACTCGCAGTGGATTACATTTGTTTCTGAAGGGAATGCTCCCCCGATCTGCCTAAATGCGTCTATGTTCACGCGAATCATTCATGATCCAGCCTCATCTACAGAAGAAGTGAGTATAATGTTTTGTAATGAATCTTTGCAAATCGCCTTTCCTAATAATGTGCTAATTAGCAAGTTTCACGATGAATGCGGCTAAAGTAAACAGTCTCTCTGAGAGCAGCTAGGAAGAGAGGGGCGGGGTCAGCAGAGCTCATTAACATTTAAAGGGAAATGCTACAAAAACGGCTTGATCTGAAAAGAGCTGTTTTTGACAGGGTAAAAAAAAAGGTGTTTTTACACTACCATTGAAAAATTTTAACCAAACTATGTTACAGACTTTTCATTAAGACCCTAAAGAATCATATCAACTTGTGGAAAATGGGCATCATATGACCCCTTTAAAGCTTGTTTTAAATCATTGTAAGCCCTCTGAAGGCCACCTGGTGGGACCCTGACCCCCTGGTCCCCATCCAATTTTTAAAGGACCGTCTGAAAACTAAAGTAAAAACAGTTCACTAGATATTTAATGTACAGTATTGGAAGTTAATACAATATGATAGAAGGCTTTTGTTTACATTAATGTTTCATTGTCCCTTATCGATAGATGACCTATTTTTTGGGACTGTTGCTGATTCTGGCGTTCTCCTATTGGGTGCTGCTGGATGCACACATGGGAGAAAAGGTGTATGGCACAGCGGTCTTGCTAGGCGTGGGGTCTGCTACCATCCTGGTGATGTCACTTGCCATGACGGCTGAGCTCATAGGAGACCAAACAGTAAGTGCTGATATCAGTCAGTGTTGGGGAACTGAAAATACTTCAAGCAAATGTTTTAAGCATATTCAGAGCTAACAGCTTCAACAGTAACGCATGATTGAACCAGTAAGATATGCAAATGTTAGCAGCAGTGAAAAAGGCATATGCTTCAGAGTGACTCATTTCAAAAGTGTAAAAATGGTCGCAGAGAACTATTAACTATTATTAGCTTCTAATAAGACTTTTCTTGTCCTCCTGACAGCAAAGTGGTGCTTTTGTTTATGGAGCTATGAGCTTCACAGACAAGGTGGCTAATGGTGTGGGAGTTATGATTATTCAGACGCTACACCCCTGCCGGTAAGTGTGCACATGTGAGTGAGAAAGACTGTTTTAATTGTTTCATTTTATGTTTAGAGTAAAATGAATCGATTAAAAATATATTTTGAACATTAAATATTAATGAAATTATTTTTAGTAATTATATTTACATGTGATTTCTCTCATATAGCACAATGGTATGCTGTCCAGGGTGCGTGTGGTATTACCACTATATCATGGTCATCGTCACTGGTGGAGTGGCCGTTTTAGCAGCACTGAGCCTCTGCACGATCCTTATCTGGCCGATAAAGATTGTGCGCTGTAAGAAACTCAACAAAACTATAATTCCTCTCTTTCTCACTTTGAAACATGTACTTCCTCTTTGACTTACTCTTTTTAATAGTGTTAAGGCTTGTTCACACCGGGACGAATAGCTTTCGCGCGTGATTATCGCCGACGTTTAACGCCTCGTGACTAAACAAAGGGAGCCAATGTGAGTGTGCACACCGACGCGCAAAATGCGAGGCGTAAAAGCGTAATTTTTTAATAAACGCCTCGGGCTGGTTTTTTTGGTTTGACGCGCTGCGTTAAAAACTGGCCGACCAATGAGATTGGCGCTTTTGTTCACGTGCCTAGAGCTGCTGAAGTTACAGTAAAACACGACTTGGTGGTGCTCAAGCACAAAAAGGACTTGCCCGAGCACTCATTGATACCTAACGACGAAGAGGAAGTAAGTAGACCAAGAAGATGCATCAAGGCAAGATGAATATAGAACTGCTGGTCTCATTGGCGTCTGAACACAAAGGGCTTTGACAAACGCGACAGCGACTACAAAAATCTCGATAAGAGGGAGTTGTTATGGAGAGGAATTGCAGATCAAATAGGATTCGATGTGTACCGGGGTATTTCTGTTTTTCATTAAGCGCCATCTAATGTCAGGGAGTGAATTTGCACGTTCACTCGGCTCATCGCCAGCGAAAATCGCTTGGGTATGAACACAAAAGACGCGGCGAAAAACACCGGCGATAAGCGCGCGCGATAATCGTCCCGTTGTGTACGAGGCTTTACTCGATAACCGCTTCACCTCATGGCTGACATGATGTTTTGTATTACAGTATCTAAGCAAGATCATATGAATGATTCAATAAACAGCAAAGACTTTAAAGGGGTCATATGATGCTTTTTTAAAGATCATTATTTTGTGTATTTGGTGTAACAGAATAGGTTGACATGCTTTAATGCTCAAAAAACACATTATTTTTCAAATACTGTACATTATTGTAGGTCCTCTATGCCCCGCCTCTCTCAAACGCTTCGTTTTCTACAAAGCCCCCTCCTT